AATAAAAGAAATAAAATGTTTTGAGCTGTTGCGATATGGTTCCTATTAAAGTTTTATGATTCAGAGCAGAGAAATTGATATGCAATTGTAAGCTAATGGTTTCCTTTTAAAATACTTATTCACTGTAAAGCAATGGAAACCGCGGTAAAACGTTTTTAAGGCTATAAAAAAGGTTCTGAATACGCCTTGTATGTGTGTTTACGTTATATAGGAATCGGCAAACAAGGGGAAAAGGGACACGTGATTTATTAATTAGTTAAATAGTTAATAGGCTAAATAACATTTCCAATCATAGAAGGCAGATTTACAATTTACTCTGTTTATGTAACATTCTGGTAGCGAAAATTCCTAAGATTAAGGTTTGCAACCCTTGCCCGTTTAGGAAAACGTGTTTTGTGACGTCATTGACGAAGCAATGTCACGTGTCACACTGTCACAAGTTCACTCGGCTGGAAGGATGACCCTTCTACCAGTTTTTTTTTTTTTAACTGATAGCCGATAAAATCTTATACAATATTTTTTATACTGTTAGCCTGGGTTTCTGGCGGATGTACTTTTTTTTACCAGTTGCAGCTAGGCCTGTCTCCAATGTGCTCTGAAAATGCTGGAAAGTTGTGCACTGGAGTGCCAAAAAGTTGCTAAAAAAGGTGCTCCCTAAATTTCTTGATATTTCTTATATTAAAAGCAGTTAAAGTTCTATTTTTCATTCTTCACAATAACTGCTTACATCGGTCACGAAAATTAGCTTGAAACTTAAGTTGTAAAGGGTTACCCCCAAATAGGAGCGAAATTTAAGGATACTTTAGATGTATCCAGACACCGAGAGACAGATGAAAGCGTAATTAATTTTTTATAAAGTAGCAATTAAAAGAGGTTGTATGAAAATTATTCTTTTTCTCTATAATTTAGCGAAAATCTTTCCTTTAGCATTTCTTGTGTTTGTTTGTGTGCTGATCACGTCTTAGGTCTCTTAGGATGCCGAGACTACCCCACTAAGCTAACAAATTATTCATACAGCAAAAATTTATAAGACGTTTTAAGTTATGAGAATTATTGCGTCTTTGCTTTATAAATTAGCAAAATGTGCGTTGAATTTCGCTTTTAAGCTAACTTTAAGGCTTTCTTGTGTTTATTTACGTACTGACTGCGTTTCAGGCCTGCGAAACGTTGACGAGTGGAAGGTCATTGCACCCCACTGTTGCCCGTCAATTTCCTTTCGTTTTGAGTTTGTAATTTAGTCCGGAGAGAGGAATGACTCCCATTGCAATTGGTTTTTCAATGGAAAATAAAGCCGGTCAATTCCGTTTGAATGTTTAGGAAAATACCACCGAGTTAATTCAAAACATCAAACTCTAAACGCCCTAAAAAATGGATATAATGATACAGAAAAATTAACGAAGAGAACTTTAATTTCTAACTAACTCCAAAATTAAATAAAAAAACTTATGTAGTGGGGGATGGGAAATGAGGAACAGAAATTCACTAGTGGTTGGTACTATGTTTTTCATCTTACATAACTGCTCAAGTTGAATACTTTACCAAGAGAACTCAAGAATCCGTGTCTGAAATAAGTTTATGGCAAGCTTGTAAGTGATCAAAATTGATGTGACCCCAGTGCCCTGAGAAATGGTCAACCAAACGCAACCGGGCATTTTTACTAGCGTAACCTGTTACATTCCAGCTTTTCTCTGCCATAGCTTCATAACAATTCGCCGGTGTCTCCTTGCGAACCACTTCCCCACCAATAATAAGCTCAGCACGAATGTGTGGCTTATTCTGATGGCAGCCTGCTCCAATCAGGAAGGTAAGCAACTTTCCAGTAATCTGAAAACTGGGTGACGTCAATGAGCCTTGAGGATCATCACCTTGATTTCCCCCATACGGTTCAGAGGGACTGGACCGATTCTCGTAGGTACCAATCCACCAATCCCCTTTGTGGTTGCTCTTGCGGTTCCTTGCTAATGTGTTATTCCCGTATGTTGGCTGATTATTGAATGCAGCACCATTCAAAGTCCAGTTTGACAAATCATCGTCTTCGAAGTCAAATATAGTGTAACATTCTAAGGGAACAATGTATTCAACACGTTATTTTAAAAAATGGCTGTAGCACACCGTGAGATTGCCGTGAGGGTAATAATGAAGTTTTCGTATAAATTTGTGTATCCATGATGCTATTTCGATACTATTAAGTGACCGGTCATAAAGTGCAGGGGGTGGGCTATGAATTTTTTTTTTTAAGTACTGGTTTTCAGTGGCCCACCCCCGAGGTATTTGACAAAATTGGGGCGGCCCACCCCTGGAGTGGCACAGAAAAAACTAGTGACCCACCCCCCAACCAAAACCAGTAACGCTGATGTGGATAGGTACATTACTATGACCTTCACTGCCAACTGTCAGCTATGTCACTGCAAGCAGCAATCCCAGAAGGCGATTCAGAAGAGGAACCTTTAAAGCCTACTATCCACCAAGCAATTAATCACAAGATTGAAAACCTTCAGGATTTGAAAGAGAAATCTGAGAAGCTGAAGAGTAGTATCCGGAAAGAAGAATGCCCAGCGGTTCACTAAAACGTCTGGGAAAATCATCAGTGGGCAAAAGTATGGGCAACGCTTCAATGAAAAATGCTTGGGAATGATTGCAGAATTGCAAAGTAACATTGACAAGACTTTGATGAGGGCAGAGGCCCAAAAAGAAAAACACAAGAGAACGTATCCTTTTGCAAAAGAAAAATTCGTCTCGAAAAAGAGAAGAGTGAAAGAAAATAAAGCAGAAGCTAGGAAGCAACGCTGTGAAAGAGCAGAGAAAAATTGTGAGAGAGTGTTCTCCGCAATCAGTCACTCAGCATCTTATGGTGAAGTTATAACCTCCGATCATTGTAGTGTGATAGGCCTTAACAACTTAACAAAGAGAGGTAAATTTACAGTGGATGCTATTGGAACAATCGGAGCAAACCTGTCACCAGTTGTATTGAGTGCTATAGATGATAGTGATGATGATGATGATGATGATGATGATGATGATGATGATAATGAGAAGGAGGAGGAGGACAGCGAGGAGGAGGATCGTATTGCTTCTGAGGGTGATGGTAATTGTAAAGATGACAAAAGATGATTAGAAGAAGATATTAAAAAGATCTTAACATAAGTTAGGTTTATGAACCCACAGTAAAGCTTTGTTCTAGATTTTATACTATAAAAAGTTTCTCGCGTGACTACTCTTCAGATTTAAAGACTGTACATAAATAGAAACAAAATATTTAATATGTGAATTCCTGTTGTCATATAAAGTTGGGTTGATGTGGAAAACTAAATTTATTGTTAAAAAAAGATTTTACTAACGTTTGTAGTGATATGTGAATAATTTAACATGACCCACCCCTAATGCAGTGCATTATTTTTCCTGACCCACCCTTTTTAATGTGTTAAAAAATAGTGACCCACCCCCCAATTTTTCATAGCCCACCCCCACCTGTACTTTATGACCGGTCCCTAAAGATCTCTAACCAGCGTTTCCTTCACTGGAAAATTATTAAATTTTTTAAATTTCTATACGAGCAATAGAAAACTATTTAGGCATGATATATTTTTGTATATACAATCTTGTTTAACCTTTTAATACCTACGATCAATGCCGGAAAATTCAAAGTAAAAGTCAGTTTCGCTCTGAATGCAATATACCTGAGTGACTTATAATTAGGCTCCTCTAAAAAATACGATGGTATTTAAGGGGCTAGTTTTTTTTTCGCGGAAGAATTAAATAAAATTCTTTTTGTATCTCACTTATTGCTTCTTTAACTCAAGCTCACATAGATTCCACGAACGTATATTTTGTTGATGAGTGAAGAATGATTGTGACAAGGTAATGTAATTTTTTCTTAAAGCCAGCCTTAACACTTCAGTATTATTTAATTGTGTTATAGGTAGAACCAGATAACGAGGCTTATCAAGCTTTTTGGGAAAATAATTGTAGTAATCAAAGGCTTTACTCTTCTTCCACAATCGCTTGATCTGGGGAATGTGAGACTTCATAAGATCTCTGTCGAGAAAACGGAATAAAACACTGGGATACCTGTGCAGCTGTATCCGTCTCCATAGTAACCATCATTGCAGGTGCATCTGAAATATCCTTCTGTATTGGTACAAGTTGCGTTCGTTCCGCATCTCTTTTCTTGACATTCGTCTATATCTAGGATAATTTTGTAACACTGTGAACCCTTTCAACCCCCACATCTCCAGTACCATTATCCTTTATCAAGGAAGATGACTTCTCTCTTTTTTAAGTCCAATGTCCCCTCTCTCGTTTCCATTTCAACCAAAGACAAAGTACCATGAAATTCGGGTTATAATAAATAGCAATAAATAAACATTAATTTTGAAGCGCCAAAAATTATTGTGAACGGCTTTACACCATGCTAATCACGCTAGCTGAAATCGGTATTTATTTCACTTTTATTGGAAAAGTTTTTAAATTCGAACAACCGCCAGAGAAACTGTTTGTTTGAAAAAAGGGTCAGAATGGGAAAAGGCACATTCACCAAAGGAATTGCCGACAAAAGCCCGAAGCACTCATCTTCATCCCCCCAACCTCAATCAACCACAATCCGCACTCTCCGATCTTTTCTCTGGATACGGGTCACTCATTCTCACAGACCAAATAGCACGCGGCACGAAAAACATTGAAAATTATGCATTAAAGCGTACAACACAGAATAAAACATTGCCGATACCTTCTTACAGTAGTGCCAGCCTTTCAGTTCAGTACTTTTATCATAGTTACGCTTTCATGTTGAGCCATACTGATTTTTTTTCAATATCTAAACATGGCGACATATCGAATCTCAATGCGAGTTTTTCCCGACCGCAGGAATCAACTCTATAGGTCTGCGCTTTAGGGAGGTGTTCCTTGAGAGAGATTTGACTGTCAGGCCAGGGCTTAGAACCAGATTTTTTTATACATTAATCAAACACAAAAAGAGAGAGAGAGAGACGCTTTCGCGTCAACTAACAACAGAACAAAAATGCTGGGATACCTGTGCAGTTGTAGCCATCTCCTTGGAAACCAGTCTTGCATTTGCAGCTGTAAGATCCCTTTGTGTTTTTACAATCTGCATAACTGCTACACTTATGACTTTTTTCATCGCATTCGTTAATATCTAGGTTGAGATAGTTAACAGAAGACTCATTTAGTTACTTTGCAAAGAAAACGATAACTGGACAGTGGAACTGCCTCGTTTACACGACAAGTCGACAGTTCACCGAAAATTAACTTAACTTAAAATCATAACTCAGATCGAGAATATTAAGCTAAACGAAGGTGAAAGTAAAAAGAAACGTGTCGCAAATTCACTCTAAAGTAAAAGGAAAACTCTTTCATCTATTCGCGAGCTCCCGAAAACGCTGCTTCCGTCTGGAAGGCCCTACGCTTGGTACGCTTGTGATGGTTTTGTCGACAGTGATAGCCGGGGCCAATATAACAGTGGATACACTTTTTTTCAAATTAATGTTCTCACAAGCAGTTTCTCCCTATTAAGTGTGGCACAGCTTGCGTGGTTTCATAACTACTGTGTTCATTTAGTCCATTTTTCAGACCTACCCGTTTGGCATCTTGCTCCTGTCCAGCCTCGACACAAGCAGTGATATCCTTTCTTGGTAAATCCTGATTGACAAGTCCCGTTATTTTTACATGGAGAACTACCACAAGGATTCTGGGGAAAAGATTATGGAAAAGAGATATTGCTTTATGCTTCTGAGCCTTTCTAAACCTTTGCGAGAGGTGTCCGCCTCATCATGATTCAAGGAAAACGAGTAAAGATTGGCAGAGCCCAACTCTAAGCGTCGGGTTTAGGGATTAGCCCGTCTTACATACATACGGGGGCGCTGTTTTGAGGTGTTTAACAAGTTAAATTGAATATTTCATGTTATTTAAGAAGCAGAAAACGCTTTCTTTTGGGAAGCGCTTGCAGTTTAAGGGCCGAGGCAATTACAAAAATTTTCGATCTTAAAATAACAATAAAGTGAAATTTCTAAAAAACGGCTACAGTTGAAACAAAACCGTCTATGGAGAAAAACTTGCTTTTCAGAGAGTAAATGAGAATGGCTGGCGAAAGGAAAGACCTAGTGTAGTTGTCAGATTTTGTTGGGGGGGGGGGGGGGGGTGGAGGGTTCAGTAGAAAGATGGTTAGCGTTTACTCCATTGCGATAAATCTGAATTTTCAGTGACATCCAATATGACGGCCAACACGGCTACCATCATAATTGACGTCATTGGCCCTCAGCGCGTCAAATTCCATAAAATTCACATCATCCCGTGCAATTGTCACAAACAGAAACTATCTACTCAATTTTTGAATATTGCAACACAGCCCAGCCCAAAGCCTGAGATCCAGCCGTTTTCCTTTGGACGAGGCGTTGGGTTATGGTATTAATAGGCTCGGAGACTGGATAACGTTAAAATTTAATGATCTTACGTTTGTTCCGCGGTAAAGGAAATTTGGTGCCTCCACAAAGTCTTTGTCGTGTTCTCCGTGTGTAGAATTGTTCAATTCACAGCTGTATTTTCCATTTCCAACCATTTTGTTTTCAAAATTAAGGCTGACACAATTGTGCTCGTAGTAACACCTCAACTCACACTCATCCAGATCGCGAACTTTTAAAGTTTTTATGATGTGGTTCATCAGGCGCTTGTCGGCAAAGAAAAGAAAACTTGGGAACGCCAATTCACGACAAGGACCTTAAGACAAAAAATAGCAGAACTATATTTCTAACACTTGTAATAGAGTTCATTTGGGTTTCCCATTCAAATTTAAATAAGGATTCCGTATATTGTTCAGCGGTTAGCATTCTCTCTATCTTTGAAACGCGTTTCTCTCTCTTTAAATGAAATTATAGAACACTTTCTTCACTTTAGACTTCCATTACTTTGAAGTCTGCAAATGTGAACATTATCTCTCAACCGAGTAGGAGATATGCCCAGTGTCAGGTTAACTGAGTTTATACACCTTTTAAATGGAGCAGGTGAACGCACGATATGTATATATCAGGTAATTTTTGTTTTTCCTTTGTTTCAAGTCATTACCAACATTACCATATTCCAAAACAGTGGAAGAAAAAAATTAACTAAGATAAAAAATTAACTACAAAAAACGGGTGTATATATTTATTTACACCCGTTTTCATATGGAGAGATATATAGATATAGATATATACTTTTGTTTTCTTGCACGTGCGCTCGTGTGCATTTCTCACTTATCATTGTCCAACATGTGAAAAATCTCGTTTTAATGAGAAATTTTCTCTCTGTCGGGTTCTTTGCTTGACTTTGAAAAAGACATTCCAAATTCCAATTCGACCAGGATTTCAGGTAGACGAAAAACCACTCATTCGAAGGCGAATCATTTGGCTTGTTTTGGGAATGAGGAAACCAGCCCGCGAAGTAGCCGAGTTATTAGGCGTCAGAACGATTTTTAATATTTTGTGTGGTTTCCGTAGAAACGGCAATGTTCGGCCATGCCGAATTGGTAGGCCAAATGTCATGGCATCTATAGCAAGGGATGAAGCATTTTTATTGATGGAGTATATTATGCACCATCCAGGGGCCTACTTAAGAGAAGCTGTACACTATCTTGAAAATAGTTGTGGCCGAGAGTTGAGCTTGTCTTCAGTGAGACGTTGTCTTGCACGCCGCGATTTTACACGAAAAAAGGTGAGACAAAGATAACAAGAAAATAATGATTTAAATCATAGCTACGATGACAATAGCTATCTTGTTATTAACTACAGCTTAGACGCTTTGCTGTTGGTGCTAGACCAGCACTTATTGAAGAATTCATGGAAAACATCTCTATCTTCACTTCAGAGGAAATGATCTTCATTGACGAAGCTGGCTTTGTAAGTACATTCAAGAATAAACTCTTAAATATGATCGTTAACTTCGATTAACACACTATTACATTAGGCATTTACAGACAATTCCCTCTTGAATTAAACAGGATATACGAACTGTAAGAAATTACGGTCGTGGCCCAAGGGGATGGAGAATTCGAGCACCTATTCCAGCATCGTGGGGACCAAGGATCTCTGCAATTATAGCCGCCAATCAACAAGGCATTCAGCTTTGCAAGACTACAACACGTACTATAAACGGCGAGTGCTTTATTGCATTTGTAAGAGATCAGCTTGTCCCTATTTTAAACCCCTACAATGGTGAAAATCCAAACTCGATTGTTATTTTGGGTATGTTGAGACAATATCATTATTTTTCTAAATTCTTTGTAGTAATTTTAAGATATATTCATTTGTGTACTTTCTTTATTTACTGTTTGGCAGATAATCATCCTGTCCACCGTTTGGCAGAAGTCCGGCGACTTATCATGGCGACTGCAGCCCTTTTACGATTCTTGCCTCCTTATACTGCCCGGACTTAAATCCAGTAGATAACAATTATTCACCGAAGTGGAGGTGGCTAGCCAATGGATATTTACCGAACTGCGAAGCAGCACCACTAGCCACCGACACTGAGGTGAATAATTGTTTTAGTATATACTAAAACAGTGAAATAATTGAGCACAAAAATGATGATTTTTAACTCAAATTCTGTTGCCAACGATTACAATTTTGGCGCGTAATGACCGGGCGGCCGGTCGCTTTTTCTTGCTGACAATTAAAACTTTTGAAGGCATTTGTTTAGCTCTAGCGGGAAAATTTCTTCAAAAGAGTTGTGAATTCTTTTTGTATTTCTTCTTCGTGTATTTCGGAAACAGCTTGCTTGATTAGTTGTGAAATTTCTTTGTTTGTTTACGGCAGCAAACCTGGAAGGCATTTTGCTCGCAACTTACGTGAGTTTGGTGTCGCTTTGTAGCCAATCAGAGCGCGCGAAAAACACTATCCACTGTTTTAGTAAAAACTAAAAATGGTTATAGCCAACGCCAAAGCAGCTATCCGAGCACGGGAAGTGTTGTTTGCAGGTTCAACAAGACCAAGGGGTCTAGTTTTACTAGCAGTCCTTCAGGTGACACAGGATTTTTGTGAGGCGTCTGTTAGGCATTGTGGTTATTGAAGTCAGGTCAAACAATGACTTTATACACTTGAATTTTATTGACTGATATTTCTTAAATCAATTAGTAGCAACTGCTTTTGCTCATCGAGCTCTTGTTGGGTTAACACTCCTTCCCTGTATAGTTCCCCGAGCTCTTTCAGTTGTGCTAGAAGGACTGAACCTAACTGAAAACGAAAAAAAAAAGTATGGAAAATAAATATATTAACTTGTTAAGGAGAACACGAGAACAATCTTGTTAAGGAGAACATGAGAAATAGTAAAAAACAATTTACTTACGTTGGTTGAGCTCTCCTGATTTCGTGTTTCGCTGCGATGGGCACCAGTTAATGCAGATGTCACCGCCTCTGCAAGTTGCACAAAGGTTTCACCTGCCGTCGAAGCGGATGCCAGTTTCCTCCTCTTTACCTTTCTCTCCATGAAGGGTGGTACGTCGGGTGGTGTTTCCATGCTTTCATGTACCCCGCTTTCCTGGAAGATAGCGAATATACATACAACATACAGTCAATCTACTAAAGAGCGAATTTGTACTAGCTACACTTGAATGATACTATAATTGTTTGTTACAATATATTCACTTTTACACTTACGATTGTCTCTGCTCAGAGGAAGTATTCCGCATTTGAATACTTATCGCCGTGCTTATTCGTTAATTGCCTTTGCACACCTTCCACTCTTGACGGCTCGCGATCGTCATCTCCTTGATGTTGTGAATCATCTAAATGTCATTAATTAAAGGGGAAATTAGCTTAAAAGAAGCAAAGACATGAGACAACAACAATTGAAGTAAATGAAAATAATCCACGTACCATTTCTAGTGGTCGATAATTTCCGTTTCTGGCCCTAGCGTGTTCTCTTTTTTCTTCAATATAGATGACCAACTCGCTATGTTTGTGATTAAACCTGCTCGTGTAAGCGTCGTCAATGTGTTGATCCGTTTTAATCAACCGCATGTTATTACTCTTTCCCACATACCCAATATCCACGTCATCCACCGTGACATCTTCCTCAAAGAAAGATTCGGTCGCCTCGAATACACTCTTTTTCATTTCAACGGCGTTGTCGTAAATATTGAAATCTTGAATGATCTGCCGCTCAAACGTTCTTTTACCAGAGGAATCATTGTAGATACGAATTGTAGTAAGAAAGCTCATCGTGTAACGACAACAGTAGATAACGTATAACTGACCCAATTTTCCATTCTTTCATTTTCTGGAGTATGTAAATGAAACGAATTGCCGACAGGATTCGTACATTCTTGTCTTTTTTCACAAATTCAAGCAAAGAACCCGACAGAGAGAAAATTTCTCATCAAAACGAGATTTTTCACATGTTGGACAATGACAAGTTAAAAATGCACACGAGCGCACGTGCAGCAAAACAAAAGTATATATCTATCTATATATCTCTCCATATGAAAACCTTTTTGAAAACGGGTGTGTATATATATATACATAAGGAATTTATGCCGACGTTTATAGAGTATAGTTTAGGCAAGTTTATTGCGCTGTACACAAATTTCCCTATGAAAGTAGGGAGAAGATTGATTAGATATTAATTTAACTACGTTTTACTGTTTTGCTGTTTCTAATTCATATTGCAAACGATATTTAACGGAAGATAGGCATCAAAACCTTTACAGAATAGCTGGGTAGCAAAAATGCTAACAAATCAGGCATTTCTTGTAAACCTTCGAGTTTTAAAAAAGGAACTTTTTCAAAGGAAATATTTTTTAAAAGATCTACCAGATCGCACTTGAATTGGGCTGTTTGTATGATATTATGATATTTAAACAGCCTGAATTCTCTTTCCGCGTACATCCAATTATGATATGTCATCCTGTCAACAAGTAGATTATAAGGTTGTTTTATAACACAAATCAACCTATTTGAAACGTGTTTTTTTTTTGAAGATTTAAGCAAAATTTGGTTCTAACTGGTATTAATATGCCATTTAAGTCTTGCTAAATTTGTCCCTTCGATTTTCGCGAAATTATTTATTTACTAGTAACGCCTACCCTACGAAGCCGAAGCTTGATTAGGAACCATTAGGTCGCGAGTAAAACTTACAGAAATAACAGTAACTCAGTGAAGAAAACTCAAATGGTATCTCTCTGTTTGGCGTGAAAACTGCCTCCACTGAGAATCTTGTTTTAAGAAAATTTCTAAAGAGCATGAGCATGAAAGTTATTTAACAAGGCACTTATGTAGGGCACTAACGAAACTTACCGTCATTTAAGCAGGCTGACACTTGTTTCCAAGTAGACAGCAAAAAGTGAATACAAAAAAGTAGCAAATTAGCAAGCATTGTGCATCGTCCTCTTCAAGTACAGATTCATGGAGAACATTGAAGAAAACAAGAGTTAAGACTGAGTAGGTTAATTATCACCTGCATACATGATAACTGAACAAACATCAAGGGCAATATAGACCCGTCTACAAGAATAAACACATTTTTGAAACTGCATATCTTGTTACCCGCATTCGTGTGAAGGGGACCTTAAGCCCCTCAGGAGATCAGTTTAAAAAAGATGCGGTTTCGGTGAGCGGATTGACTGGTTGCGTGTGAATGGAAGACCGATTCGTGTAAAAAATGTGCGGATTTAAAACTATCTGGTTTCATGTGGACGTGGCCTTATAAATCTTTCGTCTGTTTTTGGCCAATGAAAATGATGTTCTGAGTGGTCGTTACGTATCACAAGTTACAGCTGCCTTTAGCAAATGTTCAAATTTCGAATTTTGCACCCACCCCTCCCCTAAGACACAATTTTGCCCTAAGTGAGAAGTATGTGTTTATGTTGACCTAGGGATGGGGTAGGTGGTCAGTTACCCAGAAACCTCGATTGATCCGAATTTTCTACAAAAAGTTTGCATAACTGCTAAGTGACACTTAACTAAAAAATTAATGAAGCTAAGTTTTGACAAACCATGGCCATGATCAAGCAACTACACCCAGGGTACGAGAAATGCTCGATAAAATTTCTCCAAGTTTTATCATTTTATACCACACAATTCCTCTTATTTAAAATTCAAACAGGACATTTTAAGTAGTCAGGTGCCTTGATAATCTGTTGTGTATCATGGTTGAAAATTTGGCGTATACAATGTTTGTTCTCCTTGTCAGGTAAACTATTTTGAGTGATAGACTAAACAAGACAATTTGTGGTGAACACAACCTCCACTGACGTTATACCGTTGTTCGTTCAGCGATATTTACACAGTGCTCTCTCAATTAGTGGCTAATTTTCAAAAGTTAATTAGTATTGCAATCACTAATGCTCCGCTAAGCTGCCACAGAATTCAATACAGTGCAATCTGGATATAATAAAGGACCAAGAGACTGACAATGTTTGCTAAACAGTAAAAAACGAGGGTTACTTAATTGCCATTTATATGGAAAAAACCGGGAATTTAGGTTGGAAAATCAAATGGTTCGCGCTATTCCGTTTGGAAAGCTCCAAAAAACATGGGTTGTGTTTTTAGCGATGCAATAATTTTATTTTCTACACTTTGCAGTCTCTCCAGCAGGTTATTTGGATATTAACTTTGTGGCGGTGCGTTCGCCCCCGCAAGTGCGATTTTTTTGCGAGCACGAGCAGAGATAAAAAATTTGCTTTCGAGCAGCGAGCAGTTTAGAGAGTACAACTCGCGAGCAGCGAGCACTTATATTTTCCGCTTGCAGCAATCCATATGGAAAACCTTTTCTTTAAAATAAAACAGAAAATAGTCTAAAACGGGGTTTTAATTTAGAGCACAAAACCTTAAAAGAACTTCGTCTAAAGTAAAAACACAGCTGTACGCAAGCGATCCCGAGCTATCCCGAAGATTGTCTAATATTCAATTACGAGTTCACCGCTCAGGTACAGAAACATCTTGTGATTGGAACCGTTTGGAAAGTGCAGTTCACAGACGAGGATTTTGATATCGATTTAAACCAAGAGCTCTACGAAGAATGTCTCGAGCGTACAAGGGGGGTTGAAGAAAGGGACATGACTGATGTGGATGAAGAAGAACTTGAAGAGGAACAAGATCCTCGTGTCAGAACAACCTCTTCTGGAAAAATCCTAAAGCTTCCAAACCGTTTTTATTAAAAACACGGCCTAATTAAAGCCCAGTGAGTATAGAGCGCTAGAGAAACTCGGAAGAACTCAAGGTAACAACATCTTCTCTTTTTAACCACATATAACTAGATTAGCTAATTTATTATTTATCGTTCATTTTATCGCGTGCATTTCCACTGAACTTGATAGCCACATTTATAGGAATTAAGCACCATACAGAATTAGATTTACTTTTGAAAGGGACACAATGCAGTAGCGGATCCAGGGGAGGGGCCCGGCCCCACCCTTAGTTTTCGACCCCCTTACCTGAAGGTCTGGATCTGCCACTGCCATGTTCCAAGATGCCTAAGTCCTTCCTTGCAAAACAGTATTATTGACGCTGATCATGATTGCAGATCACCCATCAAATATTTTGTAGAACATAATATACCCGGATGTCAGAAAGGCATTAAATCTGATATCTCACTTAAACAAAACTAAAACTTAATTATTTTATAGAACAACAATTATTTGCGGTTGGATGGAATTGGTCACGCTGTATTATACTGGCAGACACCACTTCCACCTTTCCCATAATGCACCTTCTTTCCCCCAAAAAATTTTGCATAAGCAGTGTTTTCAATTTCTCTTGGGACGGCTGTATGACCCAGGAGAAATGAAAAACAGAGGTTATGCAAAATTTGAGAGGGTGCGGGGGGGTTGGGTGTTGGTGAGTGGGGAATAAGGTGCATTATGGGAAATGTAAAGTGGCGTATTGAAAGATGTCCGGGGGGGGGGGGAAAATGTAATTGTAATCAGTATACCCACGCAGCACTTAGGAGTTCTTACGAACTCTCGTTTAAACGTCTGTGCGTTCCAGATCGAATTGGAATTTGGAAATGATACTCTCGGCGCAAGGGAGAGAACCGACAACAATCTTAACCCACATGGGTGGTGGGGTGGACCGCTTAAAAACGATTCTCATCTGTTCTTATTCCAAAAAGGAAACTTTCTTAATTAGAAGTTACAACCCATTTTTTAAAAGGGTTGGGAGCTTTCATTGTACCTTACATCAGAGTCAGGAGCAAGAAATCCAGCTGATAGTTCGCCAGTTTTGCTTCTGTACAACAGCGGACATGGAGCATTGTTGAGCTCGCAAAAACGTTCAAAATCCTTCGCCAAAGAACTTTGAAGAATCGCTAAATTCGCCTGGAGGTATCCCATGCAAAATCCTGAACTTGTTTTCCCCTGCCATTCGGGATTTGTTCGAAATTCGTATCTTGCTTTGGAGGGTTTCCGTAAACTGACATTATCACTTTGTTTGGACGCCATTCTCCTGTAAGAATTAGTTAAAATCGAGCATCGAATGTTAATGAAGCAATCACCAACACGATAGACTGTAATGAATACTTCGTCATTTGACACCAAACCTCATTTAAAGCCCACAAAATCCTTTTTCATGACAGAGCACTGGGTTCAAATTTACTCCAACCAAAAGGAGATTAAGTACATCTCACATTCCAATATTAGAGCCAGTGTGGAAACCCACCCTCCCAAGCTACACAATTTACTCCGATTCTTTCCCCTCTTCCATCCCCGACAAGTTATGGACCTCCCCCATCCGAGCTTCGCGTGTTTCTGCGGTACACGTATTTCTAGTTTGGGTGAGGGCAGGGTAGGTTCTGGCCTCCCTCTAAGACGTTTTTAGGGGTTCGTCACGCGTTCCTCCCTAACAAACGTCTACTGAATTACGAAGAGCCACTTCCGTTCTTTGGCTGTTTGCTTTTGTTTAAAGAAACCAATCAGCATTGACTAATTGTGACTAATTGTAGGTTGGTTTTGTCCATCCTATATTTTCTTTGTGAGACATCAACGTTACACTTGGACTTTGAGTTCATGTCAGGGCTTTT